CTCCTTGATTGGGAGGGTATTGTTACCATGAATTGTGTTTGGTGTGATAATTGCAACACTTGTTCTTGTTCGTCCACCATTTGTTCTTGCCGTTGGTCGGTATATCTGCCATCCGACTGCCGGTATCCATTATCATTGTGATTGGGAAAAGTCCTTTGCTGAGTCGATGTAACTACACTTCTAGCAGTCTCTCTTCCTCGGTTTGTCCGATCCGCTTGTCTATCCACCTGCGTATCCGCTTGTCTATTTCGCCAACTAGTCTTCTCAGTTATATCCTTAAATGATTTCTTTACGGGTACATCCTCTTCAATGCTTCTCTCCGATGAATTACGTCCGGACGACGCAGCGGAATAAACAGTCTTTGGTATGGAAGACGTTGAAGATATGGACGATGTCGACGAAGACTTCTGTGGAATAGGGCGAGAACTTTTCTCAAATAGCCATTCGGGAAGGTCCCCAGCTTTCTCCTCGTAGTATTCGCGTAAAACGCGGGATATGTGAGTTTCGCCTTTCCAGTCTTCCTTGTCAGAATCTGTGGATTCGAAATATATGGGAACGCAAACGATGCATTAGAAGCAGTGACGCGGTCAACCGTCAATAATAAATGACAACAGTTATGGCTGTGTTGATCTTACCATAGTCATCTTCCATCGTACCGGTGATGTTCTCCTTAAGCGTGGATGTTGCGCTAAGTAGTTTGTCCCAGAGGTAGGTTGCTTGAGATTGTGGTGGAGCAGGCGAGTCTGGCGGTGTGAAGATGTGAATATAAGAATTTAATTACTGTTGGGATGGATTATTCATTGTCTATGCACCGTACTTTCACCCAATTCAATAATTAGTCTCTAGCCCCATGATATGTTTTCATTTACTATGACTGTCCAGGACACAAAATCCGCCTCCATGTCTAATTGCTATAATTACTTCTCCCAGGGTACCATAAAGATTTCACGAATAATTCCACAAAACTCTCTTCCACAGGATTTTCAAACTTCATTTTCTTGCAACTTACCACCCTCGTTTAAATCGGACCAACTTTTGACGCCTCTCAGCTTTGCCCATAAAGACTCGCCAGTCTGACCATTAGACAGTTTATCATCGCCTCTTTGAGTTCCAGTCTTAGAAATACTGCTATTTCTTGAGTGCTGCTGTCGAGAAGGGGAGGAGTATTGTGTTGGTAATTTGGGTACAGGAGGTGTCGACGATACAGGTAAACCACATTTGTGTCGAGCCGGATAGAGACCGACGTCTTGACCACAATCTTTACAAAGAACTACTACTCGGGAAATACGGTAGTCATTGACTTCAGCGACCATTTCGGCAGAAGTTCAAAAAATGAGTCAAAATAGGGTATTATATTGGAGATTGAGTTTCAAGTAAAGGCAGCGTCTTTTGTATTAAATATTCTATAGAGATGTGTATGTATGCCGTATGCTGCTGACAAGTGCTGTATGTCGTGGTTATATGTGAATGAAAAAAAAATTGGGATTAGTTGCCAGCAACGTAGTATTAGGAAGAGCTGAACAAATAGTGGACGAACAAGAACAAGTGTTGCAATTATCACACCAAACACAATTCATGGTAACAATACCCTCCCAATCAAGGAG